ACCTAAGGAGAGACTGGGCACTAGTAGGTTTAATGATGTTTTTCTCAAAATCTACCCACATGACCCCACCTCAAAATTTCGAGAATAAGAAATTGGCTCTGATTAAGCATTTATGCAAAGTAAAATAAAAATCTGTTTGGCACATTTTTGGCAAACTAAAAACTGTGAAATTTGGCCTATTTCAAAAATAGATCAAATTCTGTCTTACAGTTTTTTTTAAATTTTGTCTCTCAATGCAATAAACCACGACAAATCAGCTGTGAAAATTTCATCATGGGCTGTATGGTAGATTTTTGAGCAATCTCGGATCAAAGACTGACTTTTACAACCTTGGACGGGAATTGAACTTCGTGCCTTTTATTTAAGCATGCGCTCATGTGATGCCATGTATAGCATACAAGAAAGCAAGAGTAAATTAGAACTCTTTTATTGGTTGTTTATCGACCTTTTTTTGTAATATTTTCTTGGTCCTTGGCTTCACCACATGTTTGAAAGCAGTTTGAAACTCTCACTTGGTATACCAAAGTAGTTTAATGCAATTCAATGCTGAAGTTATTTTCATCTCTTCTTAGTGTTAATTGCGTCATATTTACATGCGCATTTAATACTGCCACCTGGCAGGAAATCTTGGCACACACTACTGAGTCTCGGAAAAACTGCAGTATGCCACTGTAAAATTCCTGTTATGGATATTTCCCATGGTGCATTTCAACCTCAACTTATCAAAGTTATAACTCTTCACTTTACAGAACATGCATTAGTTTTGGAGAAAAACAAACATTCAAACTTCACCAACAAAATTTATAAGATAACTATGCTGGGCAAATAAAAGCCATAGAACCATCTAACAAAAACCTGTGTCTAGATAACCTTTGTAAAATTGGGTGCAATATAGAGAAAACAGTAGGCAATAACTGTTATTACATTTATCAGCAGTTTGATGTACAAAGAAGTAAATTACTGTTGAAAAGGTTAATTCTGGTTTGTGTTAAAGATGATTTCCAGTCCATACTGCGCACTCTCGCAAGTTTGTTTACATTTTTTGATTTTCAAGTAAGACATCACAAAATGTTAACATTTTGAAACTACTTACATGAAGTAAATTCAAAGTGTCATGTCAACTGCTATTATGGATGCAAAGCTTTCTGCTTCATTTTTTCTCATATCACTCGATGAAACAACTTCACAGCTGTTAAAATCAATGAAGCTGTTGGAAAAGGAATTTGAAAGGTCTCAGATAAGGTATGTGGTTTGTAACGAATAACACTGATTGGCATTCCATTGAGTGAGACTTATAATGTTTATAAAGATAAGGGTGCTGAGACTGCGCAGCACCAACTGGAAATAATCTTTAACCCTTTCATGTCATTTGTCTTCTTCAACAAAGGATATTTGACCACAGACTAAACTGCGATAACAGCTATTGCGTTGTGTGACGAGCACTATTCACATTAGACCCCAGACCCCTGGTGCATTTGCCAACTACAAAGTGGGTTGATTTTACTATTTGGCAACAATTTAACTGTTGCAAGAAAGCAGCAAATTTGTGCCAGCAATTCAGAAAAAAAGAAGCATGCAAACAAGGGACAGATGTATGCCTAACATCACTTGATGATGAGAAGGCCAGCAAGAAAGTGATGGGAGAAGTGTACCGTACTAGAATGCCACTGCAAGCACCATTCCTTTCAAATTTTGTTCAAAATTTAACTTTATATATGTGTGTTTTGTGGGAATCAATGTAACGCATCCTGCAAAGTAAGGATAAATTCTGCGAGTAGAAAGCTGTGTCACAACATTTACTAATTTGTTTTGCAAAAAATTACAGCCATTCAATCCTGTAAATCTACTATCACCATTTACAATAGTGCAGCAACTGATGAAAGCAGGGATAACACTCTCCAATTTCAAATCACTAATCACGAGTCAAATTACTTTCAGTTTTAAAATTATCGCACTAATATACACACCAGTTGATGCAGATTTGACAATCTCTTAATAAGCATGGTATACGTACACATCACAACACTATTAAAATGCTTCGTCATTATCATCAGTCATTGTTGTGCCTTGGGTGTATAGTGTAGTCGTAATTGAATCAATAGTCACCTACAGGCTGATCACTTTCTTGCGTGGGATGTTCACTGTCATCATACACTGGTTCAAACTTGACAGTGAGTTGTCCTTGTGTTTTGTTCTTGGGTGCATGATGTTAAACTAGTTACTAAAGATGGATCAACTGATGTGTCCTCTGGGGGTCTGAGAGCATCTCTCGCATGAATGGTCTCACAGGAATGGCTTGATACCTTTTGAGAGGACAATAGAACAAATGATAGAAACAGTGCCCCTAGCCCGAAAAAACAATAACAGCTGTTACACTATGATGATATAGAGCTGCTACACTTCGGCCTTTAGGAGAATTCACAAAAGTTGTAGCTCTGTAATTGCTACAGAAATCAAAGCTACCTAAGCCAGGAATGATGAGTAGACAGACTTGAAACAGTCTGCAATATGTGTACTACCAACTGCTAAAAATTACTTCGCCACATTATAGATGAGAATTAAGTCACATCCACTGCTATCATGACGTGATATATTCTTGTTTATAGGATTTTTATTGTATTATGTTGTATGCGTAAGAGATGTTTTCACTGTTAATTCCAGCAAAGGTCGTTGAAGACGATGAGGCTCTTCAATTTTTAGCAGGTAAAACGTGTTTTACTTTATTAAAATCACATGCCCGGGCTACATTTACTGAGAATTCGATGAACAAAGTTTAGGTGGTTTACTGAGTACCTTGGTCTGGTCTAGAGTTTACAATATACTCGGGTCTTTTACGTTTCGATGATCAAGTATATTTTAACCAACAGTGAAATAAACTGTTATCACGGGCCTCACAATTAATCATATGCAAACACACCAGCACTGTGGAGACTGTTCAGATTGAAGGGGCATTTTCGACTTCTGAGAGATTCCCGTAAGTTGGTCTGTAATGAGAATTTCTTCAGTTCTCGCAGGGGAAGGTTTCGTTTGTAAGAAAACAATTTCCCGCCATTGGTAGCAGATTAGTAAGTAAAAATCGGTAAAAAGGTCCATGTGTTAATTTACATAATCATGCTTCCAAGAACCCGGCAATTAAATGAAACGAGTAGTTTTTCATTTGCCGTTTAAAGCATCTGGATGCAGTCCCTATAGTTACCTACGGGTGAATTTGTTATTAAAGAGGTAATAAGCAACCAAACGCCTCGAGTATTTTGTGGATTCCTTCTTCAGAAGAGGTATGACCTGGAAGGTCTGGAGAAAGTACACTGCTTGACAATTTTCTTTAGTCATTGAGTTTTTACTGAAGAAAATATTAAGACTGAAACTTTTGTTTTCCTCAGACATAGTACCTCCCAAAGTTCTCGTTAAAGATTTCATGGAATCCTTAAAGAAGTCGAGGAAGTCTTCCATCGAAATTCGCAGTTCAAGTTCGGATTCTGAGTCAGAATAGAACTTTGTTGATGGCAACATTACTTCGAATAATGAGGGAAAAATTTCACCTTGAGTATGTTCATTGGTCAAAACAAGCTGAGGATTGCATGGACCAGTTATCTGAATGGTTCAACAGCCATCTTTCTTCTACATAGTGTACAAGTAGTTTACCACGCAACGGTTGTACTTTCACTTCGGCGTGCACTTATATGTCTGCGGTGCTCGTGTATTACAAGTCACACGTCAAACATTTTGGAATTCCAGCTCCATACGGCTCCAGGGCTCCGGTGCATATACCTCAGTGGCGCCAGGGAACGGTGATTGACCTTTTGGTCCGTACACCAAGAGGACAAAAGAAACACTTAGATCCTCGGGCTCTAATCAGGAGTTCCACGGACCTTTCATTTGCGACTCTATACATTTAGGCCCCTACACAGTCCCTCACTTAGCACAGTCTGACTGTATATAGACGTATTAAAGCACGTTTCTGGATAAGACAGAGAGCTGTAGTGCTATGTCTCTGGGCTGGGACGGTGACCGGCGTGAGCAAATCATATTTCGAACCGTTCATAGGGACAAATAGAAAGGGAAGCGGTCAAAATAACTATTTTGTTCTAAATGGCCATGAATTTGCCTGGTTAACATGATTTCGTTATAATCCTGTATTTTCAACTCCTGAGGCCATTTTTGAATCCAATGCATTTTGTCATGGCCAGTCGTCCCTTAAAGGAGAAGGTCACTCCAAAAACTGTGTATTTTTTCCATCACCAATAAAAAGTTCACATTGAGTTGAGTAACTCACCGTTGTTCTAGCTACTGAAGTGGATGCGATCCCAATGAAAAAGAAGAGAAAAGTTCGAACCCGGGATGACAAAATGTGAATGATAATATCGGGACAGGGGAAATAAGTTACATTCTGAGTTGTTAAATTAGGCTTAGAGAATTCATAGATCGAAACATTTTTTACGCCGGTTATGAAAAAAGTGAAAGTTAAAAATAAACACGAAAAGACTTTGATCAAGGAACAGTAGTTATTCAGACTCCGTCTTTTACCACATCGAAGGACTTCGGCTATTAACTTCTCAGCAAATTTCCTCTGCAGAAAACCAGCATTTTCGAAATAAGTGAAACAGTTCTACGATCACAGATCGGCTACCCACTGTACCCTAGTCGACAAGTTTGCTGGGCACACGGAGCGTTCGCAGCAAAAGACTGCACAACGGGTGTCTCTAAAACTAAGACCCTAAGGCCCCAAAAACTCTAAAGCGAAGACCCCTAATTTTCTAAGCATTTTTTACCTTTAGTGAAGTTTTGCTCCTTTATCCGGCCAATAATGCAATAACAACAACAAACCGTGTTAAGATTTTAACCGGCATCTTGAGCTGAGCAACCAAGCTTTCACACCTTGGCCGGAAGTGGCGTTCGCAGTATGAAACCTCCATTTGGCGCTGAAATACAGGCCCGGGTTGTTCGAAAGGTGGATAGCGTGGTTTGTTCTGTTAACACTTATCCACTGGATAGCGATTTATCCGGTGGATAGCGTTATCCAGCCTTTGAACAACTGGGGCCAGATATTTTGTTATATACTCAAAGCCGGCTTATTTTGGAAGAACCTTTCTAAAAACTCTTAAACGGTAAAGTAATTCGGTCAGCGTTCAAAATAGTCTGCAAAAAATGTTTAGTTCTATTCATTTTAAAGTATTATTCAGTATTAAATCGAGGAAACAGTCAAGAGTCCCGTCATTTACGCCTATCTACAGATTTACGTGGAAACATTGCATACTTAGGAGGCTTCGGCGTCCATTGGTAAACTACTTTTACACTGACCATATATATGATGATTCTTCGCGAGAAACATGAAAGTCGGAGTAGCAAATAAATGTGTTTGAACCAGTCCGAATTCGCAAATCTTTCTATCTTGTTCATAGCTTTTTATCTGAAGAAAGCGAAAGGCCGAAACGTCATTAAACCAGTCGGAACTGACAGAGGTTCGTTATCTCTTTCCGGCAATTTCCCAAGTATACGCACTTTCTGATCTTCTATGAACTTATACCTAAAACATAGTACAATACAAGGTAACATTCTTTATTTCACATGATGCGACCACTTTCTTGTCTTTTTTGTGATTACGTCATATTTTATCGACAATTTCCTGGAACATGCCTCTAACACAATTTTTTGAAATCCAACGTTTGAAATGATATTGAAATAATATATGAAAAGAACAACGTAAGAGTCTTTGTATTGTAAAATGTTATCATAACCTATCAGCCGTGAGAGAAGCATGAAGACCAATATGAAAAATCGACGAACAATTCACTTGCCAAACTGTGCCGGGAAAACACGGCAAAGCGCGGGCGCGCTCTCTCTTCCTCCACATAATTGACAGAAGGAAGCAAATCGGTACGTAGCCTAACTTCCAACAAGTGTGAGAGCCTGGTTACTCAGCTCAAGATGGCGGATAAAACATCGACACCAATATGAGCAAAATTGGCCGGATAAAGAAGGAGCGAAACTTCACTAAAGGTAAAAAATGTTTAGAAAATTAGGGGGTCTTCGTTTTAGAGTTTTTGGGGTCTTAGTGTCTTGGGGTCTTAAGGTCTTCGTTTCAGAGGTCTTCGTTTTAGAGACACCCGTGCACAACACGTGCGCAAAGGTGTCTGTCGCAAGTCGGCAGGTATATTTTGCAGGGTGCAGGGTGCAGGTTGCAGGTTGAAATTTAATTATAACTGGAAAACCGCTGGCACTAAAAATAATTAATAACCTACATACTCGTCAGGGGTTCTTACATAACGTAAATCGCATCTTTCACGTAGTGAAAACACCATCCATCCACGATAAGTGTCGCGATAAGTACTTATCGATCGACACGCTGAGACCAGTGAAATCTCTTGAAAGCCATCAGGATGGCCGCTCCACAGATGTTTTCATCGATTCCAGATTTGGCTCGGGTCTTCCCTCAACAACAGAAGATTGCCATCACAAATGAAGCAAATAAATAAA